TATTTTCTATAAAATTCCCTCTTTTCTCTTGTTGTTCTCACTTCAGGTCATGAAATGTGAGGCTCAAGGAACAAAGTGTCTTTACTCTAAGTTCCTAACTTCAGCTAACCCACAAGATCCGGTATCTTGAGAGACCTCGGATTATATGTCCTGTCTTCCTCCTGCTCTTGATTCTATTTTTTCTTTTACTGTTAGTAAACTGGTCTCTCAAGATTAGCCATGAGAGCACTCTCCTTCATAGAACATATTTCTGCATTGACCTGTGGTCTCTATTCTGCTCCTTGATTTAAATCAAATTCCAGTGTCTTAAGTATGTAAGTTCCAACTGGACTCAAATTAGTCCCTAAATTAAAAAGAAGTTAGAAACAGAAAACAGCCCTCAAATTCTACTAATTTTGAAAGATTTTCTGAAGGAACGTGTTTTTTTAGTGAACAGATTCTTCCTTGGTAACTTATCATATATATGCCAATTGCCACATTAAGTCCTTTCTGCGAAGCGCTCTTTCTTCTAAAGACTCATAGGGAATAAGTTCACAGAGCTTAACAAATAATCATTCTTTGAATAAAGTTATTCAATCTAAAATGCTAGGTTATGATTCTTTAAGCATTTATGCACATATGCAAAGAGAGCTTAGTCAATGTGTTTCCATTTCAGAAACAAGTTGTTTCTAATAGCTAAATACAAAAGAGTAAGAGTGAAAAATTTTCTGTAATGGCTCAATTTCCAGACTGTTTTATAATAGTTTACTTTTTCCAAAGCTTGCTCACGAATAAACTGTCTGATACAGTAAGAAGATGGCCTTCCCAAAGGTTGTCTGAGATTTAAATATGGAAGCAGTAACTGTTTTCCAGGAAATCTCTTAACCCACATTCATAATATTCCAGCATTCTGATCAATAATAGGAAAATTATAGAATATACCTCAGTGTTCTCTTTGTCCAACATCATCATTGGAAAATTAAGAAACACAGGTCCAGGGGGAATAAAGTCACCTACTCAAAATAACAGATTTAATGAAAGAAATAAAATTAAAAGTGAAGTCTTATCAGCCTGTAACATTTTGAGGTTAAAAGCAGCTAATTGCTAAAATCATTGTGAATGAACATATTAATTTATTAAATAAGTATTATTGAGGGTTTAATGTGCTAGGTCCTGAGAATACAAACTCATGCTTGATCAACAGAGTATAATGGAAATAGCATTATATTGTTTCATGACCTAGCCCAAAAGGACCAGCAGCTTCTGCTTTGCCCTCTTGGAGCCCTGACCAACAATAAAAGAAGTTCTACTATCCTGACACCTCCATGCTGTAAGAAGTTCAAGACACAGGGCCACTGCATTGTAATTCTCTTTAGCAGTCCCAGCTCAGCTCTCAGTCAATAACCAGATCAACCGATGTGCATGTGTGTAATCATCTTTGAAGACCAGTCCATTTGATGCTTCATATGACTCCAGTTCCAGCCATTATATGCAACTGCATGATTCCCAAGGGAGAACCACCCAGACAATCCTAATCACCTCACAGAACCATGGGAAGTAATAACAAACTGTTTTATGCCACTAACCTTGGGATAGTTTTTTTGCACCAATATGAAATCAGAAGAGTAGATGACAGAGAAATCATCAGTAAAGTTTGAAGGGGAGCGTAATGATAAATTCATATTCATTACTGATCATTTTGAATAGGTAGGGCCACAGAGTCAGTAACAGAAGATAAACACCCTGTCTTCTGCTCCCACCATATATTCAAGTTTATCTGAAATTTGAGGACTGCTGGACAAAATTGAGTGAAGTTCCTCCTCCTGTGTACAAGTGGCATTATGGAGATTCAAAACGGTCTACTAGGAGGAAGGGAGAAAGGGCCAAGTCCTTGACTATTAAAGTACCAGTTTCGAATTCTGATAGCCAGCTATGAAGATGGCCCCCAGGCAAACCTCCTGCATTCACGGTTGGGCAAAATCATCTGAAAACACAGTACACTGTGGAGTATCAGCTGTTTACTTTCGAGATGGTATTGCCACCAGGGCAGTGCTTGCTGCGTATGCTGAGGCATCATGAGAGAGTACCGTACTGCATATTGCTAGCCCAGTAAAAGATCAATATTCAAAATCTGAAATAAGGTTTCTAGGAAATGCATATCACTTTCCCACCATAATACGGTAGAAAAATTGTAAGTAGAACTATCATAAATCAGAGACCATCTGTGTAGGGAAAAGTAACCTCTTCAGGGTATCGAATCTGTCTCTCCAAAACATGATATATTTCTTCATATATTAAATCCTTCTTTAAAGTTTAAAAAGTTTTATGTGGTCTTGACTATTTTTGTTGGATATATTTCCAGATCCTTCATATTTTTCTTCCTATTAAAAACAGTGTCTTTCTTAAAAATACCTTTTCTAACTCTATTGTTGGAATATAAACATTCATTTGAGATTTATATGTTGATCTCACATTCTTCTTGTTTACTAAATTTATCCATTAATTCTAATAATTAATTTGAAGAGTCTCCTGGGTTTTCTATGGAGACAGCGTGTCATATGCAAGTAGTGACAATTTAATTTACTCTTTCCCTGTTTAAATTTTTTTTTCTTTTCTAAGTGTACTTTCTATCGCACGGTATTGTTAAATAGAATCAATGAGGGTGGTACATTTGTACATTTCTGATTTTTTAAGGAAGTCTTTTCAGTATTTTACTTTTCAGTCTCTATAGATTTCTTTACTGTGTTAAAGCTATTCCTGTCTCGTTTCTAAGACTTCTTTTCAGTTACTAATAGGTTTTGAATTTCACTTAATGATTTTGTTGTTTTAAAATGACTGTATTTTTTTCTCTTTTAATTTCTGAACTTGGAAATTGCATTAATAGTTCATCATAATAAACTATCATTACATTTCCAAGATTAACTCTTCTTTCTCTTCATTTATTATATACAACAATGAATATTCAATTTGTTTTGTGTTTTGTTCAGGAACTTTGCATCTTTGTTCTTAAGTCAGATTGTCCTTCAAATTTCTGTTTCACGATGGCCCTGGATTTTTCTTTTTCTCAAAATTTTCCCTCAATATTTTAGATAAAAACCCAAAGACAATAGTGTTATGATTCATTATGTACCTACCACCAAGCAACAACTATCATGGCCTCAAGGCCTCTCTTGTTTTATCTGTCTCTCTCTTTCTTTATCTCTATCATGGTAGATTATTTTGAAGTAAATTTTGAATAACCGTTTCATCTGTAAGTATTGTGCTATGTATCTTAAATGATAAGGATATTTCAAATAATATTATTTCAATATTATAATTACATCTGAACTTGATATAGTCCCTTAACATTATCAAATGCTCACTTTTACCCAATTGTTTTATATTTTGTATTTAATTTGTTCAAATCAAGATCCAAACATGGTTCACACATTTTATTTGATTAATATATTTTTCACATGTTAAGAGTGATATGTTGTTTTATTTCCTTAAATTCACTTGCTGGGGAAATGCAGTTATTTGTCCTGTACAATTTCCCACCTTCTAAATTTTGCTAATGGTATTCCTATGTTGTGATATAATACTGTCTCCATGTCCTATATTTTCTGGAAATTGCCAGCTAGATGTTAACCAGAGGTCTCAAACTGGTTTGATCTCAGGACACTTTTACACCCTTAAAAATATTGAGGATGCTAGAAAAAAATTTTTGTTCATGTGAGTTATTGATATTTATAAAAATACATATTAAAAGAGAAAAGTTAAAAATATTCATTTACTAACTCACTTTGATCAGAAAAACACGTTAACAAAATGCCAATATGTCAATAAGTAAAGTTTGTCTTGGTTTATTTTTCAAGTAAAAATGGTGTTCCATGAAATAGTGAATTAAAACTCAGTATTACAAATTATTTCCTTCAAGACAACCATTATACTTTAGCATGTCAGCTTTCCATTTAGTCATACAGAATATTCTCTCTAGATGTATTCAAGGGTTGAGATTTACTGAAGCCAATTCACTAGTCTGATTCATCAAGTTCAAGGGCATTTTCAAGTAAAAATGCCTGTATTTTGTTTCTTGCAAGTACGTGGATATGAGCAATACAATTTGGTGTCACTGCCTTGATTAATATTAAAGCACCAGAACTTCTATCCACCATTTCTTTTGCCTCATCAGTGCAAATGTCAACATAGCAAAAATGACAAACAACACTTTAGTATAACTATGACAATTATAATTGCACAGCCACTCCGAACAGGCCCTGAAGCCTGAAGACCCCCATTTGTGTGTAGATCACAGTCTAAGAATGCTACTCTGAGGTATCAAACTGTCACTTCAGAAATACAGTAAACCAAGGAACTACCTCTTGGTCTTCTCACACAAAGGTAGCTGGGAGGCAAATATATTTAACTGTTGTTCCATAAGACCCTACTTGCCTAATGACTCATGAGATTATTTCAAGCTTCTTTTACATCTTGCTGCAAAGTTGAAGTAGCAACTCTGAACCAGTGCTGCTTCTTCTGGTTTCTATTCTTTCTTTATTTCGACTAATACATTGTCTTTGCCAACACATATAATTTTAATGCCCACCCAATTTTTGTTTATTAATTTGTTTTAAATGTTACTAGATAAGGTATAAAGAAATTCATATGTATGCCTATAGAAGTGAGTTCCTGGCAGGTTGATCAAAAGCAAACTTTTGACATTTCTCATAACTATGTAATATCATAATATTTTCTAAACTATGTAATACCAGACTCACAAGATTGCCTTTATTCCCTTAAGTTTCTCAGAAGAAGATATCTGGAAGAGGGTGGGAAAAGTGCAAACTTCAACTGTTTGTGGGGAAAGTGCTGGTCTGCTACAGAGAAAAAGGCAACATCTCTGACAATTCCCAGCCTTTGCCAGGAGGAGTCTCCTCCCCTTGGCATTATCTTTTCAACCAATGCCAAGCCGTCCCCATGACCCCTGTCCGACCTACATATTGCCGTTATTCACTCCAATGACCATCCCTGAGATCCTCTTATAAAAAAACCCAGTCTTTCCTGACCAGACAAACCATACCATATCCCACCAGAGAGGTAAAGGGGAGCTGAGAGAAGATGAGACCCAGGGAGGGGCTACTGCACACGATACAGGAGAATGCATGGGAGGTTCCCTTCCTCAGGGAGCACAAGAACTCTGAGACTCAGCAAGGCTGTCCTGGGAGGGCTCGGGGATGGGAGAGTACACAGATTCCAACTCATTCAGAACTGTAGAAGATGATGGATGTGACCAAGATCACTTTAGTCCTAGGGGACTAGACAAGGAAAAAGACATGAGGCTGTAGGGTATCTGTGTGTTCTCCCACTGACCACGCTTCCTTTAGGGACTCCTGACTACCTCCTCAAGTCACAGATACCATGTTGCCTCCCATGGCCCTGCCCAGCTTATCTTGGATGCTGCTTTCCTACTTCGTGCTCCTGTCTCACTTCAAGGTGAGATTGCTCTGCCTCTAGCACAGGGTTTCCTATGAATCCTCAGAGCCAAGAAGAGGAGGAAGGCTCCTGTGTGCCACATGAGGTAATGGCATAGTGTCTAATGTACCTGCCTGCAGTTCCTGCATCATCACTCCTTCCTTCAGGTTAACTTGCAGTGGGAGGCTCCATGGGGGTCCACTAACAGTGGAATGAGATGGCTTCCATTTAGTCAGTGGACTCCAATATAGACTGGTGGGAAAGTGTGGAGGGTCAGTAATGAGATGTGGGGAGGGACAATGACTGGAGGACCCAGTGTAGAGACAGCCCAGAGTGAGGAGAGTATTGAATGGTTGAATAAGGGGAAAGGATAATAAGAGACTAGATGGTATCCCATTTACTAGGGCTATTTTGAGATAAAGAACTTCTGAAAACACAAGGGAAGATTAAGGGGTGTCAGGAATGTGGTCTTCCTCCCCAAGGGCAGGCCTAGATATTCCCCAAGGTCATCTTCCACCTCAAACCCCACTCTTCATTTTACCCTCTCCCTCTTCTTCCACCTCAGGTGAAGAACCCCAGAAGGAACTGCCCTCTCCACGGATCCGCTGTCCCAAAGGCTCCAAGGCCTATGGCTCCCACTGCTATGCCTTGTTTTTGTCACCAAAATCCTGGATGGATGCAGATGTGAGTGGTTATATGTGGGACTGGAGGTGACAGGGGAAAATCCATGCAAGTCTCAGCAGGAGGAGGATCTCCATTCAGGAGAGTTCATTGGGAATGAGGATGAACACGCTTATCTTTCACATAGTCCTCCTCCCACCTCCCTTTGTTCTGCTCTCCCCCAGCGGGTCTCAGGCTCCCTCTCATTCTCTTTGTCTCCATCAAAGCTGACCTGCCAGAAACGGCCCTCTGGAAACCTGGTGTCTGTGCTCAGTGGGGCTGAGGGATCTTTCGTGTCCTCCCTGGTGAAGAGCATTAGTAACAGCTACTCATACATCTGGATTGGGCTCCATGACCCCACACAGGTGTGAGTATATCCTCCCCTCTCTGTTACCTCTCAAGGTGCTATTGTTGCCCAGATCCACTTCCTGTCCCCTGTCCCTGCCAGGAAGTACTTCAGGGAGCACTGGAGCTCAGATTCTGGGAGACATTTGGGAGAATAGGAAGCCCACGAGGCAGCTGAAGATCTGAATTCTGTGGAGGTCCCTAGTCTTTAAATAAAATTAATCAGACTCTTGTAAAACTTTTACATATTTCTCACGTGAATCCTTACAAATCAATTAGCTGAGCTTAAGGGAGTCTGCATCTATTATTCTGAGGGAGTTCTCAATTAAGATAGGACCAATTTTTTCTCCCCCATACAGAATAGACATTATCTTTGAGGTTCACAGGCTAATCACAAATGCTACACTAATTATTCTTCTATAAGTAACATATTACCTTGAATGATTCCAAAGGTCTTGTGTTTATTGGCTGGGATTTTCCAATGGCAATGAGGAGTTAAGGAAGAGGTTCCAGTGCAGAGGACTCTAGGGCAGCATCTGGAAGAGCAGACCAAAATCCCTGATGCTGGGGAGGAATCAGGTATTACAGCTCAGGGGCCTTGCAAAGAGAGCTGCAATGGCCATTTTCTTCACCTGGCTGCCTCCTCTTCTTTATAGGGTTCAGAGCCTGATGGAGATGGATGGGAGTGGACTGGCACTGATGTGATGAATTACTTTGCATGGGAGAAAAATCCCTCCACCATCTTAAACCCTGGCCACTGTGGGAGCCTGTCAAGAAGCACAGGTGAGAAACAGAAGAGCTGCCTCTTCCCAGCACTTTCCGCTCCTCATCCCCAATTTCTAGTCCTGACCTTCAGGAAATCCTTTTCAGCTAGGAAATGCAGTGTTGATGTGTCTTCTCCCATCTCCTCTCATCTCTGCCTTCTTTGGGTCTCATTCTCCTGGATTGAGAAACTGGTGAAGATGAGAAAGAAGCTTTAAATCCTAGGCTAAAACCTGGGATGTCTCTTCATTGGGTTCACAAGTTCCCCCAGCCCCATGCCTTTTATATTCTGTCTCCCTAGGATTTCTGAAGTGGAAAGATTATAACTGTGATGCAAAGTTACCCTATGTCTGCAAGTTCAAGGACTAGGGCAGATGGGAAGTCAGCAGCCTGAGCTTGGTGTGCAGCTCATCATGCACATGAGACCAGTGTGAAGACTCACCCTGGAAGAGAATATTCTCCCCAAACTGCCCTACCTGACCACCTGGTCGTGATTCTCCTTCTTTTTCCTTTTTACTCACCTTCATTTCAGGCTCCTCTCTGTCTTCCATGTCCTGAGATCTCAGAGAATAATAATAAAAATGTTACTTTATACTTATATGCTTTTGTTTCATTCTTATAGTGAGAGCCTTTGGAAGAGAAGGGCGAAGCTGGGGGACAAAACACTGAGTCTTGGCTTCTCCTAATTTTACCCAGGCCTAAGGGGAAATTACTCTGTGAATGTCCCCATCAGTGTATTTGTGATGAAGGTGTGGGCCCTGCTCAGGCAGGGTTTGTGTCATGAAGAAATGAAGACAGTGCTTCTCCACACACTCACTGCCCACACATTGTCCCTGATGTTGTGACACAATCGGTCCTAGGGGAGTCTGACATTGCTTAAAACAGAACTTCTCAAATAATTTTCTGTGAAAGATCTTTTTTTTTTTCCCCCATTAATTTGCAATCTGTGTTGCACGGCGACTTCTGTAAAATACAGTAAAAAATGAATTACTTAAACTTCTGGTTACAATGTTGACATAAAGAGCTTTGGAGGCTGCTACTCTTTTCTTTAAAACAAGAAAATCTGAATAAACGTAAAATCAACAACTTTCCTTTGGGCTAGTGAGAGAACTGAGGTAGCAGGGCAAGTTGGTACCCCAATATCTGGAAAAGCACCCAAATACACAGAGTTGTTTACATTTCTGCTTACCTGGAGCAAAAGCCTCTAGAGCTACAAGCTGTTAGGAACACTTAAATGGTGATTTTGAAAAACTGCTGGATGTTGAGTGCAGCTTGGCATTAAGAGTGAGAAACTCATGGACATTGCACTCCTAGGAAAGCCCTCACGCCTTCATGGATTTTACCTTCAGGAATCCCAACAGGTTCTCTTGGTGGAGACAAGAATAATTCTCTCATGGCTTTGGCAGGAGGAGGAGAAAAGAAACCATTTCTAAATCAGTCCAGAGCATTCTGAATAACAAAGACCTACTTCCCGGTAAAAAGACCTAATGAGCATCTTATCAGGCCTAAGCACCAGTGCATTGAAGTCCACTCCATCTAGCCTTTCATCTTACCTAACAGAAAGAGAGTTAAGAAACATTTTTGAAAGTCATGACCCTGGGGCATAGACTCACACAAATACTGAGATTTAATCATAAAATTATATGATACTTCCCCTTGCTCAGACACTACCACATCAATAGAGATACAGTTTAATGACAATAGATCACAACTGAGGAGCTGCAAGGTACACTACTTAAGAAAGAATTATTAGGAAATGACAAAGGCAATAGGAAAGACAAAAACAGGGACACGAGAGAAATTTTAAGCCTCTTGCACTTACAGCTGTAACAAACATTAAACACAAACTAAATCCTAGTGAGATTAATGAAAAGTCTTATACTAAATGTCTTTCACTTCAGTTATTATTACTCAGTACATCAAGTGAAGCTTTCAAGAGAAACTAAAAATTTTGCTGAACAATAAGAAAAAACATGATCTGAAGAGATAAAGCAAACATCAAAACCAGACTCAAATATGGTACAGATTTTGGAACTATTAGGAAATTTAAAATAACTATGATTGATGTGATAAGGGCCATGATGAAGAAAATGGACCATGGGAAAGAAAAGATGCATAATCTATGCAGAAAAATAGACACTGTGTAAAAGAATCAAAAGACAATGTTACACATCAAAAGCAATATAATAAAAACAAAGGATTTTTTTTTTTTAAGAGACAGAGTCTCAGTCTGTTGCCCAGGCTGGAGTGCAGTGGCACAATCTCGGCTCACTGCAACCTCCACCTACTGAGGTCAAGCAATTTTCCTTCCTCAACCTCCTGAGTCGCTGGGAGTACAGCCGCCTGTCACCACACCCAGCTAATTTTTGTATTTTTAGTAGAGACTAGGTTTCACCAGAGACCAGAGGCCAGGCTGGTCTCGAACTCCTGATTTCCGGTGATTCACCCGCCTCAGCCTCCCAACCAGGATGTTTTTGAAGGGCTTATCTGTAGACTGGACCTGGCCAAGTAAAGAATCATTAAGCTTGGAAATAAGTCAACAGAAACTTCCCAAACTAAAATGCAAAGAGAAAATAGAGTGAATAAGTAGAACAGAATATCCAAGAACTGTGGGATAATTTTTAAACTCATATATATATATAAATATATATATATTATATATATATATAATATATATATTATATATATATAAATATATATATATTATATGTATATAAAATTGCAATATAAGAAGAAGAAGAAAAAAAGAAGCAAAAGAAAAATTTTAAGTAATAATGATCATGCATTTTCCAAAACTAATGACAGACACCAAACCCTGGATCCAAGAAGCTCAGAGAACATCAAGTAGAATAAATACCAAAAACCAATCCTAGGCATATCATATTCAATTTTCAGTAAACCAAAGACTAAGAGAAAATCTTGAAAGAATCCAGAGAGTTTGGGGGACAGTTTACGATAGAGGATCAAGGACAAGAATTAGAACAGATTTCTCATCACAAACCATCAGTGGAAGAGACTACTTAACGAATTAGACGGCATAACAACCAAACTAGAATTTTATAGCCAGCAAAATTATCCTTCAAAAGTGAATGAGAAACAAAAGACTTTCTCTGACAAACAAAAAACGGAATTTATTTTCAGCAGAACTGCTTTGGAAGAAATATTGAAAGAAGGTTTTTTTTGGGGGGTAAAAGGGAAATGATATAGGTCTGAAACTCAGATCTACTTAAAGAAGAGTGTTAAAGGCATAAAAAAGTTAAATGAAATATTTTGTTTACCTCATTTTTCATCAAGCTAATAGATAACCATTGGCTTAAAGGAAATATAGTAACTGTTTCCTGTGAGTGCAGCACATGAACAAGTGAGATGAATGACAGCAATGTCATAAAGGATGAGAGGGAGAAATTTGGAGTGCTTTGTCTAAGTTTCTGCGCTACAAGTGAAGCACTATAAATTATTTGACAGTGGACTTGCATTAGTTGTAAATGTATATTGCAAACTCTATAGCAACTGCTATAAAAATTTAAAATAAAATACCATTAAGATATAAGAGAGTGAATAAAAGAGAATAATATAAATTGTTCAATTAAAACCAGTGAATGCATAAAAAGGGAAGAAAAAAACTGAACAGAGTAAGTGATCTTATAGAAAACAGTTATAAACATGATAAATGCTATTCCAACTGTATCAATAATCACTTTAAATCTGGGTGATCTAAATGTGTCAATAGAAAGAAAGAGATTGTCAGAGGGATTTTTTTAAGAAAGACCCTACTGTACGTTGTCTATCATAAAACCACTTGCAACACACATCCTCAGGTATGATCAAAGTAAAGGGATAGAGGAAGATATACCATGCCAACATTAATCAAAAGAAACTTGAGTAGTATGTTAACTTCCAACAAATCAGATTTCAGAAAAGTATATAAATATTATTTGGAATCAAGAGGGGAATTACAAAATGATAAAAGGGGTCAATTCTCCAAAAGGACCTAACAATGTTTGACATGTATGTACCTAACAAGAGAACAAGATGCATGAGACAATTACTTATACAATTACCAGGAGAACTAGAGAAATCTTTTTTTGTACTCAGAGACTTCAACAGTTTTCTTTTTGTAACTAATAGAACAAGTAAGCAGAAAATTAGGAACAGGGTTGACCTGAATAGCATTATCATTCAACTTGTTCTAATTGACACTTAAAGAATACTGCATCCAACAGCATAATACACATTTTTCTCACACTCACATGGAGCATTTACCTAAATAGACCACATTCCCAGGCATGAATTACACCTTAACAAATTTAAAAGTATAGAAATCATAGAAAGTATGCTGTCAGATCACAGTGGAATTAAACTGGAAATCAAAAACAGGAACAAAGATGGGAGATTCCAAAATACTTGGAGTTAAAACAACACATATCTAAATAATACATGGAAAAATAGAAGTCACAGAGAAATTTTTAAAAATAGTTTTTAAAAAAGTATTTAACTATTTAACTAGTTAAATAGTTATTTAAACTATTTCTATTTTTTAAAATAGAAATTTAAAAAATTTAAAAAAGAACTAAATGAAAATGAAAAAACAACTTATTAAAATTTGTGGTATACAACGAAAGCAGTGCTTAGAAGAAAATATATAATAATAGTTGAATATACTAGAAAAGAAAAAATGATCTAAAATAAATAATCCAAGTATACTCTTTAGGAAGCCAGAGAAATAAAGGTTATTTAATTGTGAAGCAAGCAGAAGAAGAAATATAATAATAGAATAGAAACCAATGAATTTAAAAAGAGAAAAACAATGGAAAAAATAATAAAATAAAAAAACTGATTTAAAAGATCAATAAAATTTAGGCATCTGTGGGCAGACTAACCATGAATAAAATAAGGTGGTGCAATTTAGTAATGTCAGAAATGAAAAAGAGATCAAGGGAGGCTGAAAAATGGCCTCCCTCCAAAGACCTTCTTCTTGGAATTTATGAATTTGTTACCTTAAATGGCAAAACGGACTTTGCAGATGTGATTGCATAAGAATCTTAAGATAGGGTGATTATTCTGGATGCATGAGTACAATCACAAGGTCTTTATGAGAGGGAGGCAGAAAGTCAGAGGGGAGACAAAAGATTATGCAGCTTTATTTGAAGATGGCTAAAAGGGCCACATGCAGCCTCTAAAACCCGGAACAGGCAAGAATGGATTTTCTTCTTGTGCCTCCAGAAGGAAACAGTCATGCCAACAACTTGATTTGAGACCTGTAAATGTCTTAACCACTTCTGTTCTTCAGGACTGAAAGAAAATAAATCTATGCTATTTAAGCAGCCATATTTCAGGGAATTTGCTACAGTAGCAATAGGAACCTAATA